AAGCTCTCAATGCAGTATCAGTTTCAAACCGCTGACATAGGACCTTCCCCCTTGTTATAAGTTTAACACTGTCATGTTATAGGCCTGGCCTTTTTGATATAATATAGGTTCCACAAAGATAATAGTTTTTTATATAAACAAGATTGCGTAGATCCAGTAAAAAAGAGCCAAGTTCTCTACTGCTCAGTCTATTATAAAACGATATAAAATCTGTTGTTACATATCATAGTTTGTATTTATTGTTTCTGATGCTTTGCATACTGGTAAATGAAGCCTAGAATTTTGACAGTATGCATATATTTGTTGTTAATTTGTATCGCAGTTCTTAATGAACTAGAGATTTTTTAAACTAAGTTAAGATTTCATTTATCAAATGCAATTAAAAACAGTATATCAAACTTTTCAACTGAAAGCAGACAGAGACAGTACTGTACCCCCCCCCCCCCCTTACTTCCTCTCACCATCACGTTATTTAGTAATGGTTATTTAGTTATCACGTTATTTAGTAAAGGGGCCCTGAAGGACCTGATAAACTTAGGAATTGCCAATAAGGGAAATAACTGTAGGGGGCACAATTACTTTTTATGTGGGGAGGCCCATCTTTTGTAGTCATGCCATTACTCTCACTCCAAAAACTTGGTAGCATACTAAGAGTTATTATAGTACTGCTGGGAATGAGTATGATTGCCCATAGTTTTAACTCTGTGTACAAAGATTTGCATGTTATGACCTTCTAAGAGTGACAATGGATATAGTATTGTATTTGATGTCAAGAGTTATCAGTTATTCATATGACACTACATTGCTTATTTAGTGACAGCTACTAGTAGAGGATAATAAACACCAGATACAGTGTACAGAATGAAATAACTGTAGATATACATTTCAGAAGTTCTAGAGGTTATACAAACTGTATGATGGACAACAGGATTTTTGTTTTTCACATGAACCTCACCTTGCACTTTGACTTATCTGAGTCAGACTGACATCATCAATTCACAGACATATCTTGAGTACAGATACTTTTGTAACAAATCTGATTTTTTGTGACAAGAGACTTGTACATTGTACTAAAGGCTTGTCACATTTCATGTAGATACACATATCAAATTCAGAATTATAGTTAACATTCCTTTTCCAATACAGGGTCCATCTATTGCATTGACCCTGTGCGTGTTAAGTGAAAAGCATTATGCTAATTTGGCACTATTTGATTGGTTGGATGACAGCCACTCATATAAAACTATCAGCACCTGACTATGTTCTGTTTTGTATGGTAGGAGGAGAATGATTCCTTAATGTTTACAATTTATACTCATTTTATTCACTGTTTCTATAGTTATTTCCTTATTTTCATTACTCTGTTATTACTCTGAAAACCATTAACTGATGTTATATTACAGTTAGGTTATATTACTGTGGGAACTATTAAGCAGCATTGTCATGATTACAGTTATGGTGTGCTGCTATGGGAACTGCTAACTGGAGAAACACCCTACAAGGGTTTTGACACCTTTGCTGTTGCCTATGGTGTGGGTGTTCAAAAACTGACCTTACCAATTCCTTCTACTTGTCCTTCTCCTTTTTCAAGAATCTTGAAAGGTAATACAAGTTTTTATAAGTAAGACACAGTTTTCTGTTTGTAGTTTTGTAAATTTTTGTTTATATCATTCCAAGCAGAGTGAACTAGTATTTATATAAAATCCATATTTAAGTATTACAAGAATTATATTCATGTGCTGCCATCTAGTAATAACATTGAATATTGGACTTCACTAATGTTCTAAACAAAAATACGAATATAATATAATTAATAAAATTAAATTAAATCCCATGTGGTAATTACTATGAAGAAAAATTTTAGAAATATGATCTTCTGTTGGATAATTTACATTTAAAAAGAATGAGGATCTGGTAATGGTTTCAATCTTATTCTGTAATGATGATCTTAGCTTTTCCTATAAACAGATGTTTTAGTGACACTTGAGCTCACCTTTTAGTTCAGTTCTATAGCTTTGAATAGTATATACATTCATTATTTTTACTAGTCTGCTTTATTATGCAGTATACTCACTAATGTATTTCAAACAGATCTTTAAAATCATGGTCGGGTGGTTAAGGAGCTCGACTCGCAATCTGCAGGTCGCGGGTTCGAATCCCCATCCCACCAAACGTGCTCGCCCTTACAGCCGTGGAGATATTATAATGTGACGGTCAATCCCACTATTTGTTGGTAATAGAGTGGCCCAAGAGTTTGGCAGTGGGCGGTGTTGACTGTCTGCATTCTCTCTAGTCTAGCACTGCTAAGTTAGTGATGGTTAGTGCAGATAGCCCTCGTGTAGCTTTGCACAAAATTCAAAACAAACAAACAAACTTTAAAATCCTCTTGTGCTTGACCATTATTATAAGTTCAACTTGTGTTTAAGACGTATTAGTTTTTCTCCAGTTTGTAATGATGAATAAAGATAAATCTCTAATATATCATGCAGAATGCTGGAATACTGATCCTCACAGCCGGCCAACTTTTGTCAACCTCCTTACTGACTTAGAAATCATTGCTCACTCACCCTTCATGAGCACACCTCAGGAATCATTCCACACCTTACAGGAGGACTGGAAACATGAAATTGGTGAAATGTTCCATGAACTGAGATGTCGTGATAAGGTGAGAAAAAGTTGTGTTAAAAAATAAAAGATGGCTCATACATGTCACTGTTTGTAGTAGTAGTTATCTCCATGGTCTTGAAAACATTTTAGTAAATGAAGTGAAACTAAGCAATACTCTACAGGTACAACAATTTAAAGAAACAACATTAACTTGGCCATAGTCTTGTGTTTAACAACTTTAACTTGTGGCTGTAAATGGATTGATTTTTAACTGGTATAAATGTGAAAAAAAAGAGTAGAAAAGAAGCAAGTATTCTGAAGTTAAAGAACTATGAGAATGTATTGGTCACAGCAATTTAAAGAAACAACATTAACTTGGCCACAGCATGTTGTGTTTAACAACTTTAACTTGTGGCTGTAAATGGATTGATTTTTAACTGGTATAAGTGTGAAAAAAAAGAGCAGAAAAGAAGTAAGTATTCTGAAGTTAAAGAACTATTGGAATGTATAGATCACAAACGTTTCTATGGCTTAAAATCTTTGTAATTTTATGGTTGTATTATGTCAATATTAAGTTGAAATTAGAGTCTGAATATATATATATTTTCTGTTAAAGCAAAAAATGCTAGGTGAAGTAGGTATTCATGAGAATTTAAATTTGTAAGCACATTTTGAAAAAACATTTTTCCATTAAAATTGTATGTTTGAGTTGAATTTTTATGAAAATATTCAGCTAGAATAAATCTGTGTGGTATTTGGTTGTTTATCTATATTCACTGAATGTATGTGATATTTATATATTGACCTTTGTTGTGTAGGAACTACGTTGCAGAGAAGAAGAACTAAGTAAAGCCATCATCCAACAAAAGATCCAGGAAGAAATGTTGAAGAAACGGGAACAGGAACTTGCTGAAAGAGAGTTTTATGTTTTGGAAAGAGAGCTTAATATCATCTTCATTCAACAACAGCAGGGGAGACCGACTCCTAAAAAAAGGAAAGGAAAGTTTAAGAAGAATCGTCTCAAATTGTTGAAGCATGGAGGCCAGCAAATTAGCATGCCTTCAGGTATTGTATTATCTGTACTATTGGGATAGCCTAAAGAAAGAAAAATTTTAATTAAATTGTCTCAAGAAGCTGAAGGGTATATATAGATTAGCAAATTAGCATGCCTTGAGTTACTGTGAAATTTGAACTTTTGGTTACAGATATCTCGTGATAAAGTAGCCAACATTAGTACCATTGGTTATAATCAGGTAGTGCTGATAAAATGACCAGATAAAAATGTATTATTTAACTGTTCAAGTTTTAATGTAATGTTAACCAATTCTTGTTGTTTGTTAAGAAGATGACCAGTTAATGGCTAGATGATATAATCCGGGTTTCGATGCCCGTGGTGGGCAGAGCACAGATAGCTCATTGTGTAGCTTTGTGCTTAAATACAAACAAACACATTTTGACTTCTTTATTAGGAACCTGCTCATCAATAATGTCATTTGAAGGCAGGTTACCTACATCGATCAGAATTTAAGTTAAATCAGTAATGAATATAGCTAATTTGATATACCATTCTTACTGGAAGTATGTAAAGTCATTGATTCATTAGTTGGGTACCTTTGCTGTTAATAATATTTTCATCATAAGGTTCAGTATCATAGGCTAGTCATAAAACCAAGTACTAAGGTAACAAGGCAAAGTAACTAGTCTAATAAAAAGTATGTATGAATACAAACAAATAAATATATTGTTGCGTCAGCGAGGTCACGGGACTAGTGTGACGCCACCTATTTTCTAGAAGTATCTTGTTCCTTCGTGAATGCCCTAGCATTTACTACATATATGTTTTTCTGGTATATAAATAAGACGCTCACAACGTGACGGGATAATGTGTGTTAGTAGACAGTGAGTAATTGATCTGCAGTCAGAGAGTATTATTGAGCATGTTCGTTGTTATAGCGTTTGTTTTAGTGCGATTGTTCAAATTAAGTGTATCGTAAAGTTATATTTGGAAAGAATAAACCAGTTTTATTAAGTAAGGACTTGTGTCGCTAAAGTTTCGTCGGAACGAAGTTACGGAAAGTTAATTAACAAACGGAGACGTAACAATATCAAACATTTTAATCATTACTGTTAATAAAATTAATGTTAAAAGAAGTGTAGACTAAATAATTTAAAACAGCACTTCTGCAATATATTTATTGTATAAACACAAGCACTTCTGCAATATATTTATTGTATAAACACAAGCACTTCTACAATATATTTAGTGTATAAACACAAACACTTCTGCAATATATTTAGTGTATAAACACAAGCACTTCTGCAATATATTCATTGTATAAACACAAGCACTTCTGCAATATATTCATTGTATAAACACAAGCACTTCTGCAATATATTTATTGTATAAACACAAGCACTTCTGCAATATATTTATGGAGATGAAAAATAACAAGTTAAATTAATAATAACAACGTACAATAAGTAGTAAACATATTGCTACTTCTATTAAAATATGTAAGTTATATAATTTACTAAACATACTTTAAAATGTGTCTGACCCAACTAATCCAATTTCAACAATGCACATGGTCAATTTACAGAGTGACAACTGGAGATAATAAATAAAATTTCACCCAAAGAACTAGCCGAGATATGACTCGGTATTATTTTCACATTGTGTATTTAAGTTTTAAAACTATTGTTTTGATGACAGTTTTGAATACAGTCTTTATAAGAAGCATGTGTTTTCTGAATAATGAGAAGAAGTGTAACTTATTTTTCTCATACAGACTTCCGACACAACATTACAGTTCAACCCAGTCCTACAATTCGGCCAGACCTGAAGGCTCTACGTATGCCCTCTAGTCCAGAAAGTCCTCCAGCATCCCCTAATCATCCACGGTTACGAGCATATGCTTGTAAGTGTTTTTATATGTTTTCTTATTTACAAAAATACTATTTAAGTTCTGACATCTGCAAATTATTTTAAAATATTTTAAAAAAGTGTTACTTGTTTAAGATATACAGAATTCTTTTAGCGTGTCTTTCTTGTCTTCAGTTAGAAATGTTTAATGTATTTCTTTGAAGTCTACATCTGTCATTGGTTTAAATAGTGTGTATAGCTACGTTGGTTTTTCTTCCTGGCTTTATCCAAACATTGTTATTTTTTCTGTAAATATCTACATTAGATTGTTTTGCTTCACCATAAACAAAGCTAACAACCTTACTTTCTACCTCTTATAACCAGTGCCAGCTGATGGTGTTAAGGGCAAAACCTGGGGACCCAGTACCGTCCACCAAAAAGAGCGCGGGTATTCTAGACAAAGACTGCTAATAGATGAAAATAAACGCTGGTCAAAGAGTGCTCCAAATCTTGAAAAGACTCAGCGGGGGTCTTTTCCAGTAGGTGGAGTGTCTAATATTGGAGCTCTCCATGAAATTGGTAGGTTAACATGACATCTTGACTATTAAAAAAACATTAAAACATAAGAATTGGTATTCTTGAATACATGGGGTGTTACATTTCATAAACATGAAAAAGAAAAGTAAAAAAATGGAAGATGTGAACAAGACATGGTACTTTCATATTGTAACATTGTGTTATTTTGATGTTTCTGTCTTTCTTTCATTCTTTAAGTTAATGTGGATACAAGAATTCTGTGTAAACTTAGTCAAAACATCTTGTTAGAAACTTAATTCTTTGTGGTGTCTATAAAGTAGAGTTTGTTTAGTGTTCTTCCATTTAGATGGTATACTTTGTCTAGGGGCAGAAGAAGAAATACTTGATGATATGGGATCTCCTCGGCATTACGGGTCTTATAATGGAACTGTAGCTGGTGACTCTGGTAGTTTAAAAAGATCTGGTTCTAAGCTGCTTGATTCTATGATATGTAACCTTGGTGCCATGCTGGCTGGGGTGGGTGCAGGGTTTGACATACGTGTGGTGAACCAGTCCCACCTCCATCCAAGATTAACACCCTCAAGGACAGAGGAGGAAGAGGACGAACGTCGATGGTGGTACAGAGAACCTAGTGAGCTATGATTTCAAATGTTATCACTTCTCATAAAATAAAAGTAAATTTTAATGTTACGATTGTTAATACTTGTATGTTAACTACCAAACAAAAGTTTTTTACCTGTGAAATGACCAAAAACACACGAAGCTAACTGGGTTTAAATATTTTTGATAATATATTGAACTTTAACTGTGAAAATAGCTCAAAACATACAGTAACTACACAAACCTTTTTATCACATTTTTAATATGTATTTATAATTGATAATTTTCACCTCATTTTACAAAAAAGTAGTTACACACAAACATTGGCAGAATTGTGTTGAGAACTTAATAATAGATTATCAGTTGTAAAAAAAATTTATGATTTTGTAAATAGTGGGGAAAAGGTACAATTGTGTAAGCAGGGAAGAACTTTACTGAGAAAAAAAATGTCATAAACTGTGAAAAAATAAATGTCCAAACTGTGGTAAAATATAAGATATGAGAATGTGCAAATAGTAGTAAAACTTTATAAGAAAATATTAATGTAAGCAATAGTAAAATATAAAAATGTGCAAATAGAATTGTATTAACCCTACGTGCATGAGGTCGGTCTACTGGACTGAGCCTGTAGTGTAGAAGTAATGTTTTATTTCATTCTCAATTTACTTATTGTATCTTCAAGAAGTTTGATAAGCTTTTAGTAAACATTACAAGTATTTTTATACAAAAAATCAGAATTTCTAGTAAAGCATTTCTTCTAAAGATTTGTCACTGAATTTACTTTAGTCAGTCTGACTCAGACTGTAACTAGTCTGAGTGCAAGGTGATTTTCATGTTAAAAATAAGAATACGTTTTTCATTTGCATAACCTCTAGAACTTCCTAAGTGAATATCGAAGTTTTTTTCAGTAAAACTTTATATTTTATCTCTTATTTTCTGTATTCTAACATTCTATGGGCTTGGTCCATTTGACTAATCTGATAACTACCACAAAAACAAAAAATAAATAAATTTAAATTACCCTTGTTTCTTTCTAGAATGACTGCAGGCTGTAGTAGAAAATCACAATTTTTTTTCTTAAACAGCCTAAGACTTGTAACAATTAACAACTGTTTTCATTTAGTTTTATTGTTTTATTCTTCCTTGAACCATTTGTAACTATCATGAATAGCAATAAATCAGCCAGTTGAAGTACAGACAGTCTAGGGTAAATATAATTTCAGGTTACATCATATGGCATCTAAGTATGTTCCTTTAGAGTTACTCAAGGCAAAAACAAATTTATTTATTTACTCTTGGTAGAAAACGTATATCAATAAATAAGAAATAAACATAAAAGATAAATAAGTTAGTACTTCAAGATTGAGGCCTTTTGCTCTCTGAAACCAGTTTTCATTAACCTTAAATTTTTGTTGTTAAGTTGGATGTCCAAAAATAATTTGTGTTGCATTTTAAACACAAACAATAATTCAAAGAATAAAGCAGAACTCCTCCTCATAATTTATCTAACTTTATAATTGATGTATAGAAAAAGGTTAACAATTTCATTATTTACTGGATCACTGACTTCAGTTTCCAGTCTATTAAATGTTTTACTGAAATAAAATAAAGATATCATAATCATTTAGCTTACAAAATGGCCTTCCTGTTGGTTATAAACATGCACTCTTGACAAGTAAGTGTAAGTAAATAAGTAGTTTGTAAAGCAATGAAGAGGTGGAAAAAGTTTCTCTGGTGAGTGTAACAACTTTGTTGATATCTCAGAAAATAAAGAAGGTAGGAAGTTCTTATTTTAAATTCTGTTCTGTCAGTATCTATAGTTGGTGTTTCTATTTGGTGGACATTCTGAAACCCATATAAAGAAAGAAAGAAAACCTAAAACAAAGAATTAGGACCTGAGAGGGATCACATGACATGGACAAGTGGAGACTGAGAATTTTTTAAATATTTCCTTTTGAAATAAAGAAATTAAAACTTTTATATAATATTATATTTTAATAATTATGTTTTTATTCCAAGTTTACTGACATCTTTAGTGATAATGAAGCTGCTTAATTACATTTTGGAAAAGCTCATAACGTGCATTTTGACTCCCACCCTTGCACATAGGGTTAAGAACATAGTAACATTAAAATACTGTGCTTTTCTGTTTTTTCTTGTAATACTGTTATCTAATTTAATTGCTTAGAACATGTGAATAATGAATGATCTTGTTATTCATTTAAGGCATCTCGTATTGTCTTGGACCAGAATATGAGTTTTCATCTGCTTCTGGTTATGCTCATAATACTTACCATGGTCATTCCCGACACTATAGACCCAGCATTAGCTTCGAAGTTGGCGGAACACCTCTACGATTTACAGATTCTCCACAGCACAATCCAAGTATTGGATCCGGTGGATCATACACCCCACAAGTACAGAGTCCACGTAGAAAATCCTCCAGTGCCAGTAATGACAGTGAGCATGCCTTTACCAGTTCCAGCTCAGGCATAGGTCCTTCGCCCATGGGTATGCCACCTCCCATGGGAGAGAGGTACTTGGACTATAATCGTCAGGACAGCTATCAAGCTCTCCACAGCCATTACACTGAATATGGTCCACCTTACCACTACTACCCAGAATATCGAGGTCCAAATGTGGAGTCCACCTACTACATTGAAAGGTTCTATCAAGATCCTTCAAGACCTGAAGTTTATCATGTTGAGAGAATTTATCCTGAGTTTATGCGTCATCAAGAAGGCTACCACGTGTATGAAAATCCCACCTCGTCGATTCCCTCAGGAAATATTCCATCTGTAACCTCAGCTCAACCTTGGACCCCTCAGAGAATGGCTTATGGACATCATCGTACTCCATCCAATGTATCTAATGCTTCAAATACGTCATCATCTAACATCAATCCTTCTTTTCACATGGATGACCATGAACACAATATACCTCGGCCACCAACGCCACCTCCTCCTCCATCACACACTATGGGATATCATTATCCCCCACCACCTCCCCACTTAGGAACTCCAAGACGTCAAACCAGCCTCGATTCCTTCCCTGATCGACCTCTTACTCTAGACATTCCAGGAAGGTATCGGCCAGCTCCCATTTCTAAACTAAAAACTAACATAGGACGAACCTCACCACATGGGTGGGCCCCTTCTTCCAGTGGAGGTGGGACTCCCACCAATTCTAACCCTCCTGATTCTAGCACATGGTCAACCTCTGAGGAGAGTTCTAGTATTTCCCGTGTTCGGTTTCAAATGGGAAGCAGCCAAGAAGAACCTACACGAATTAGTAGAGCAATAGGAACTTCTGGAGATGAGAAGACTCTACTTGACCTGCCGGCAGAGGGTCAATCTCAGGATGGAACCATTCCACTTACTGCCATGATGCAAATTTCTAACTTTAGAAACCAGAGACTGGCTTTTCAAGATAGAGAAAAAGACTTTCTGTCATAGTGTAAAGTTCCAGAGTGGCACGCATGAAGTGACCTGAACACTATCAGACTTTCTGACAATGTGCCGAATTAGTGATGATACTTAACCATACTGTATTTAACCATTGTGTCACTTACAACATTCCATCATTAGTACTTGTAATTAGCCTTAATGAAGTTCGCTGCTTTCAGCTACTTATCATGGGTTGATTTGAGAAGTGTGACATGTGGTGTTCCTCTTTTTCAGGTTGTGAACTACTAGTAGGATCATTTTTCTCTCTCTATATGTAATTGTAAAATATAGGTTTGAACTTCCAGCCCTGTATCTCTTTGATACAAGCTAATGAGAGCACTGAAAAGGTCTTAAGTAAATTTGATGTCTTTATAACTTTTCACTTATTGAAATGAATGTAAAAATCAAGCCATTCACTTTTTTTTTCTCCCGTTCCCTCTCAAAAATCATTGTATAGGAATTTTTGAATTCTATTAGTTCTCTGTATAGAATGAGACTACTTCAGTTATTGTCTGGGTTTATATGTTTATAATTCGTATGTAAATCAATTTTAATTAACTTAGAAGCTTTATGGATACTTTTATTTCTTTAATAATTAAGTGCGAAAAAAAAAGGATATTTCTTTTAGTGGATTTTCTGGTTGAATCAGTGAGGGAAGATGCTTCATTCCATGTAAGTTGCAGAATAGTTCTCAATCTGCCAGGTCACACTTTTATACAGTAGGTCAGGTGCCATAAGGTATTGGTACATGATACATATAAACACCATAACACCCAATTTTAATTGAAACCACAAACACCTTTACTAACTTTGTGTAGTTCAGCACCGTAAAAAAGACTTATGACTAATAAACTGCTAACTACGTATTTGTAACCTTTCTTCTCTTGTATCTTGAGCTCTAGTCTTTGTTTATCAGGTGAACATTAGCCTTAGAGGGTATGCACCTTCAATATACCCCTTACGTAGTGATCAATCTGTAGCCTTCAATATGCCCCATAAGTAATGACAAATCTGTAGCCTTCAATATGCCCCATAAGTAATGAGAAACCTGTAGCCTTCAATATGCCCCATAACTAATGAGAAACCTGTAGCCGTCAATATGCCCCATAAGTAACAAGAAACCTGTAGCCGTCAATATGCTCCATAAGTAATGACATCTACAACCTTCAATATGCCCCATAAGTAATGACATCTACAACCTTCAATATGCCCCATAAGTAATGAGAAACCTGTAGCCTTCAATATGCCCCATAAGTAATGAGAAACCTGTAGCCATCAATATGCTCCATAAGTAATGACAAATCTATAACCTTCAATATGCCCCATAAGTAATGAGAAACTTGTAGCCGTCAATATGCCCCATAAGTAATGACATCTACAACCTTCAATATGCCCCATAAGTAATGAGAAACCTGTAGCCGTCAATATGTTCCATAAGTAATGACAAATCTACAGTGTTTAATATGCTCCATAAGTAATGAGAAAGCTGTAGCCTTCAATATGCTCCATAAGTAATGACAGATCTGCAGCCTTCAATATGCCCTGTAAATAATGACAAATCTCTGTAAATTGTGTTTGAAATTTACTTTACTTTTCAAAGTACTTTGGAACTATTTGAAAATAAAATACTTATTCTATAGAGTATAAACTGTTAGTCAGCCATAAAACAGTGTTCCCAAGTGTAGTTTATCAGCTGATAACTCCATCCGGGTTTTGCCTACAGTAATAAAAAACTACTTTTTTCTTTTGTTTCGTACTCTACTCAGTCAAGTTAAGTATTATTGATTGTTATAATTCTTAAAAATGAAGTAAAGTAGTGTTCTTTCTCGTACTCAGTTTCAAGGTTTTGTAGATCAGTCATTATCTGGGACAAGCATGATTTCATTAAAGGTCATTGTTTATCATTAAAATAACATAGAGTATCTGCAGTTTAAAAAACACAGAGCTACTTTAGTTTAACCAGCCAGACATGATGAGGGTATGGTTGGTGTCAAGAATGAACTAGCCAGTTAAATTTTTTTTTAGTACTCAGGTTAACATTTCAAGTGATTTTTTTTAAAAGTTTCTTATGTTAAAATTCTAATTTCCTCTTATAGTATTTGATAAAGTTAAATAACCAGTGTTACAAATATTGATCATCTAATTTCCATTTCATACTGTGCATAACCCTAAGGCTACCTTGTTTACATTCTCTCTGCAGATTCTGTGTAATATGTTTAGATTTAACAGTATGAATTAATCCAGGAAGGCCTACCCTGCATTTTTAATAGATATTGTTGTCAACAGCCAAGATTCAGACTTTCTTTGTGCAAAATAAAGTCCTTATATATTAGTTTAAGTAGCATTAACTGATCTAAGAGAATTTTCTCCTCATTTTATAATTGGTTCTATGGTCATTGACAGTGACTCAGCACTTCTGTCTTGTAAAATAAGGAGCTTGCGTATTAATTTCAACAATGCAAGCTGTTTCTAAGAGAGCCCAAACCTCATTGTTAGTTTACACTATTGTTGCCAACTAGAACTTAGCCTTTCTGTTGCACGAAACGTGGAACTTCTTACCTTAAACTTATCAGACACTGAGTAAAGAAGCTACCCTCTTAAAGATCAAACAGATGAAGAATCTCAATACAATATGGGTGTGACATAACTTGTCACTATATTATTTTTGTGTGTGATGTTTAGTTTTCAAAGTATTAAGCACTTTTGCAGCTAGAGAAAATGATGAGCAATACAGGACATGCTACTTCACTTGTTTGTTTTTTTAACTCTGTCAACCGTTGCATATGAAGTTATTTTTCTTGTGGTTACTTGCTAAGTCTGTTAATGAAATCCCTAGTTTAGTTATCAACAAATAACCTAAAAAAATCAAAAGCATTTTTGTGAATAACTAATTTATGTTTGAGTTCTATATTTGTATATGTTTGATTTAATCTATTGGGACCATGTGTCTTAGTTTGACCAGTTATATATATAAATAGAAAGTTTGTGTAGATGTATGATCTTTCTTAACAGTTTCAGAGACAGCACTCTCAGGGCTTACGTTAGCTAGAAATATCAGTCAATGAATTACAGTGTTTTGTACATGAAACACTTATGGTCTGCTATTTGAAACAGAAAATAAGTATATTGCCCAGAGAATTATGAAAATAAGAGAGTTCTAACAGTTATATAGGTAAGTTATGCCTTCTGTCACAAATCACATTTTATTATTTCAAAATTATTACAATGTACTTGTAGTTTGGTAGATTTATGAAACTGTAAAAATTCAGACTGAGGTCTTAATTTAGACTACTTTATTAACAAATTATAGAGAAGATAAAGAATCCCTATTGATTTATTTCTTATTCTAGGTAAGGGTTTGGTTTAAACTCTTCTTCAGACTAGGAACATTTGACTGTATAAGATATTTCTAGAAGATGTAGTATAGGGGAAATTTCCCCACCGGCCATAGAAAATGATCCTTAGTCATAGTGTTCATTGGAACAGAAATGAGGTAAAGAAAAACAAAACGTTTGTAAGCACCAGTAATACTTGTACTTGTGTTCCTCATTTGTTGGTTGTCAGAAGTAATATTTAAAGTAAACAAAATGTTGTGAGAAGGAAATGATATATTGATGTAAATAGTTAGTTCTTCATCATCGGCAACAACACAACAGTAAGACATATTTATTGATCCAAGAAGTAGGAATCTAAAATGGATTGAATGATTTTTTTTTTCTTTTTGCAATCATGTGTTTCTCTTCCACCAGCTACGTTTGATGGTCCGCAAATACTAAATGCTGTAATTTGCTGTCAGTAAGCCTTCTGCATATTGGATCTCCTACTGTATGTGATAGTCTGAGAAAAGATAAGCATTTATAAAGACAGAGAAGTCATTAATAAAATTTACATAGATAGTATAACTTCATGATTATTATATAGTAATAATAGCACAGACACTTTGATTAGAATTTTTTTTTTAAATAAGATACAGTGTTTGGAATCTGGAGACATTTTTCATACTTCAGAAAACAAGTAGAAAAGATAAATAAAACTAGAAATTTTAAGCATAGAAACAGACACAAAGATTTAACATGAGAAGATACGCAGTGATGAATTTTGTGCTGTTTTACACTAGAAGTTACAGAGGATAGGAAATTAATAAATCTCAGTAATTCAGTCTTTATTAAAAAATTATGATTTGATTATAATTTAAAAATCCATTTCTTTATTTTCCTAAAAAGCTGTTGATTAGAGCATCAGAATAGAACTTGTAGTATGATGAAAATTTTTTTTTTATGCTCAGTTTAGAATTTGTGTTGCTAAGTGTTACATAACTAATAGTGATAATTAAGGACTTATGTTGCTAGGTTTTTACCTATCCTGTACTGATAATTGAGGACTTGTGTTGCTCGGTTTTACCTATTCTGTACTGATAATTGAGGACTTGTGTTGCTAGGTTTCACTAAGTAAAATTGATAACTAAGGATTTATATTATTGTGAGTTACTTAACTTGTGTTTTTACTGAAAACATGAATTTTTGGGAACTATCTGACCAAATTTGATGTTGAGGACTTGCCTTGCTGGGTGTTATTTAACGGGAGTGAATAGCTAGGTACATGCAGTTGGTGTTACCTAAATGGTGTTTAACAGCATCTTTTAATTAAGAGAGTCATGTCAACAGTTGTGATCAGAACTTTATAGTTGCAGTCTATTCAAGTGAAACATTGTGTCTGACCTTGACTCTTGTCATTGTAACAACAAAAAAACTATGCATTCATAAATCTGCTGTTGTCATTGATTGATTCACTTTTTATTTTTGTGCTGTGTCTTCCACACTAACAATTAACCTCTCTACTTAACCTCACCTTAATGTTGACTTCGAATTCAAGTCGATCTGTACAGTATCCTGCCTTGAAGTACATTAAATTGTTATTTACAGCCTGAAATGTATGTCTGTGTCATCTCTGTAAAGATAACACTGCTTATACAACATGCATTCAGTAACTTATTTGTGGAACTCATCATTAGTGTTTCATTTCTATAACTAACTTTTCATACAACACATTCAGTAACTTATTCATGGAACTCATCATTAGTGTTTCATTTCTATAAGTAACTCTTCGTACAACACATTCAGTAACTTAATCATGGAATTCATGAATAGTGTTTCTTTTCTATAAATAACTCTTCGTACAACACATTCAGTAACTTATTCATGGAACTCATCATTAGTGTTTCATTTCTATAAATAACTCTTCATACAACACATTCAGTAACTTATTCATGGAACTCATCATTAGTGTTTCTTTTCTATAACTAACTCTTCATACAACACATTCAGTAACTTATTCATGGAACTCATCATTAGTGTTTCATTTCTATAAATAACTCTTGGTACAACACATTCACTAACTTATTCATGGAACTCATCATTAGTGTTTCAATTTTATGACTTGCACTCATTATTAGTGTTTCTTTTCTGTAACTAACACTACTCATACAATACATTCAGTAACTTATTCTTGGAACTCATCATTAGTGTTTCATTTTTATAACTGATGCAACTTGCAAAACACATTCAGTGATTCTTGTGTAATGATATTCAGTGTAGTTTCTCAGCTTCTGATCTAAATTGAGTGATTTTTCACCAGTTTTTGAAGTACTTTATTTGATTCACTTACTTAGAAAATCTAATATAATTTTTATTACTTGTATTTAAAGAGTTTCCAATACTTTCACATTTTATTGTGATTTCAATATGTTTAATACCAGATGCACTTAAGGTATGATCTCTAAACATTTTAGGTTGGCTTGGGGGCTTACCCTTTAAGCATCATACTTTGTTTAGCTAAATAAATTTTAAGACTATTGCTGTGATAATTTTCTTTGGTGTAGGTGAACAAAGTAAGGGTGATATTGATTATTGATAATGGTTTAGTTTTTCTGGGCAATTTTAATGTATTTTTGTGTGTCTTTATAAGATTTTTTGAGATCATAGATATTATTTTTATACATTCCATAGGTTATAAATAAAAAGACTAAATAAATAGAAGGACTTCACCCTGTTATTCCATTTTTCTTCATTTATTAAAATATTTTAATTTAATCTCTTACTTTTGTGTTTTTGAAAAGATGTTTTTATATTAATTAATATGATAATTTATGTTGAGAAATTGTTAAAACTTCCACTAGAAAGATGAAGAAGCCTAATTTTAATGATTCTATATTTTTTACAGTTTGTAAATGGTACAAAAATAAATACAAATATAGTCCACTTGTGTAATCATGATGTTTGTGAACTCCGGTTGTTTGGCATGTTTCTAACATTCTACTATTTCCTTCATTGTGTTGTAGAGAAGTTCTTTGGATTAACCCTATATAACAAATTCTTCCTACTCCAATCAGTGTCACAGCTGCTGCTATCAGACATTATTAGTTTGTTAAGGTGAGTTGTATTGGTACAAAATAGATTTCTCAGTCAACCATGCTGGTCTTGTGGTTTCACCATGCTTGTTCAAAGAGTGCAAGCATTTTAGTGTTTTGTGTGGAGATGTTGAAAGCCTTTATGAATGAAGACAAGCAGCTGAAGAAGAGTATTGTATTTTATTATATTGATTATTTACTACATTATGTAAAACAGCTAACAATTTTTATGTAAATAATAAAAATATATACTTAGCTAATATGGGTTTCACTTTTTTATCGAAATGTGGCCATACCTTTTAGATATATATGCATTTATTTTTTTTTTTGTTTTTTTGAGGGGGTATTTTATTAAAATACAGGATATTTGCCATTTTGACACTGGAATGGTTGTATAGGAATGATTAAAGGTAGTATTTATAAACACATTTGCTCACCATGTGTTATTTTCTTATGGTTCCATGAAAAAGGTTTCTAAGGTAGTTTTATGCTTTTATTCAAACTCATTTTGTCTTATTTAAATATATCATTTTTATGCTGGACATTATTAATACACACACGGAAAAAACTAGATTAGTTAGGATTATAACAGGTTTTAAAATAAAATATCTGACAAAAAGGTCTTCAGTTACAAACACTAAATTGGGAATACAACAAATTCATTACGCACCAAAGTAAACGTTTCAGTGAAGACTGATGAAGCTTTAAAAAGTTATATTAAAATACAAATTAGGTAAGTCCAGACTTTTAACTATATAATTTTCACTAGATGGCGTTACGTGAACTAATAGTTAAAAAGACTAGTGCATTTTGTATTTTCAAATTTGTTGGAAATCATGAATTCTCTTAAGAGATTTAAATAGTTGAAATAATTATCACATAAATTTTAAGACTAACTACGAATGCGAAAATCCTTCTTCTAATTCAAACTAAAACTAGTGTAAATATACTTAGTTCTGTGTTTTCTGCTTACTCCTAAGTGATTTTAATAAGGCTACAGAATATAGTCCAAAAAAGAATGGTACTCGTAGCGATAACATGATAAAAGTTGACAAATTGCTATAAGTGTAATTACCCATCATATTTGTGGACTATATATTTATTTTAATGTTTTGTTCACTGGAGGGAGGTTATATATATATACACACACACATGGTTTAATAATTGTGTGAAACCTAGAAGTTCCGGGAAAGTTTAGGCCACTGTGGAATATCAAAAGGTACTGTAGTAGGTAGAAAGTCAGTACAGTATACAAATTCTAGATTGAAAGAGTTAGATTTGATTAATCATTTCGTTGTCAGTTAAAGAGTTATTCAGTGAGAGTTCTGTTCGTTAGAGATCCAGTTAGTAAGTTAGCCATTGTGTTTGTTATTAATCGAAATCTGAGGCAATATTTGCAAGGTAGGTGTACATTAGTTTTGGAATTTCTGTTGAAACCTTAATTTGTTATCTTTGAATGGACTGGTGTCTATTATTTTTACCAAATAAACAAAAAAATTATACTTATAATCATGACACGATACAAGTTAACATTACTATATTATGGTATATTTAAGGGCAGCAAAGGATCTGTTTCCATTTAGGCTGTCTCATCCCCTAAAGTAAACGACTCAAAGTAAGCCCCATTTATTCCCCCTCACCTATAGAGATAATTTTTAAATAAGCATTTTATCAGATGCTTTTAAAAAATCAACATGAATCCTTACCCTCATTTATTTAAGCAGTAACTTCTTCAAAGAATGTCAAAAGATTAGAAAGATAAGATCTTACCATAGTAAAACCATGTTGACTATCCATCAACATTTGAAACTTTGTTAAATCGGTTTGTAAATCATCTTTTATGAGACTTTCAAAAACTTTTCTGAATACTGATACAAGACTAATAACACTGGACAACAACATATTTGCTACCGGAGAAAACTCAACGAATGTGGGCTAATATGATGATGCTGATTTCATAAATTTAGTCAGACTTTTTTTCATCACCTCTAGATTTTGAGTTATTTTAATTTCTCAATATTTTATCAGCACTATGCAATATACCATACAATCAAGTCAGTACAAAAGATTTATGTTATGAAATTACTTGAGCAGTTTTATGTGTGAAAGGCATACATTTTTAATAACTTAAAACATTGTATTGTATTGGTGTAAAATTCCAAATATATTGTTCATATATATGCTATTTGTTATCAGTATAATATGTAGTGAATTGCTCCACTTTTGCTTCATTCCCACACTCACCTACTCCGCCTGGGAATCACGAAACCCTCACATGCTCAGTTTGCTAGAACATTCGAGAAGTCCTTCGACTGAGCTTAAAAGGGGCAGAGTCAAGCGCCTCCCACCCACTCAATTATCACTTCACCTTGCTCCGTGCAGAATCAACAAAACAAAGTCTGGTCTTTTTCTTGCATCATACCTGTAAATAATAAAATTCTAGAAAACTTTGTTTTTTAAAGTCTTTTAAACTCTAGTTCTGTAATAATAAATTCTTTTGTATTTCTTAGAAAATCATTTGATATGCTAGCTGCCTCCATTCCAAGTAAAGTCCGAATTTGCAAAAATCACCCTAACAATTTCTGCTACGTTTGTGGAAAATATATTACAGTTATATGAAGGGAAAACATCACACACAAGGTAAAGGTAGCTCTATACCTCTATTTTGGGTGTAAAATTGGTGACCAAGAAAAACATTGGGCTTCTCATGTGTGTTGTGCAGTTTGCACATCTGGCTTGACATAGTGGCTAAATGAGAGAGCAAGTATGCCATTTGCAGTTCCCATGATATGGTGAGAGCCTAAAGATAATCTAACTGACTGTTATTTTTGCATGCTTAATGTTTCTGGATATTCAGGAAACTAAACAAAACATTAAATATCCAGATATTGCATCTGCAATGAAACCAGTACTTCATGTGGATGGTCTTTCAGTGCCACATCCACCAACGAATTGGGAAACAGAAGAGTTAAATGATCTGATTCGTGGCTTGTCTCTATCAAAGCAGCATGGGGAATTATTTGGCTTTTGTTTACAGCAATGGAATTTATTAGCTCCAGGGACAAGAGTTTCAATTTATCAAGTCCCCATCAAAGTCTTGTTCATCATTACAGCATGCAAGATAGTTTGTGTTTCTGTACAAATGATAGCCCACTAATGGAAGAATTAGGTACTGTACATCATACTCTAGAATAGTGACTTTTTATTGAGTCTTCTAAAGTTACTCTGATAGCTATATTTTAGCACAATGGGAAACTGAGCCATCGATTCCTGTTGCTTATGCTGTGAAGGTGAAAAAACCTATTAAAGCATGCTGAATATACATTCTTAAATAAAATTTTCAACGAATAATGTTATTAATGAAAAGGTTATTTTCACGATATATAAGAATATTTTGAATAAATCTATCATAACTCGAAAACTAGATGTGATCAGTAATATTCAACACAATTTTTAGAATAAGCATCGTCAAACAACTCGGAAACAATTGCATTTTTTCAAGTAATAAGTTTTTGTTGTTGCA